CGCATGCTGTGCATCACGTGAGTATAGACATGGAGGGAGGGGCTGCGTGTGCTCAGTGCTGGTTGCTGAACAGAGGGAGAGGAGAACACACGGTGAAGTGTCAGTTTGCGTCGCGCTAATAAGATGAGTGAAAGTAGGAAAAGAAGCAGCATTTGGCTGCATTTTAACAATTGTGCAAACACAAAGGCAGAATGCAGAATTTGCAACATGAAGCTCTCATATAGAGCAGGGTCCACAAACAACCTCCACAGGCACTTGAGAACTGTGCATCCAACAGTTCAGTTGGAAGAAAAAAGGCAGGCCAGACTGCCTGCTTCTGCCAGTGCGTCTACTCCACCTGTTGTTGCTGCAGCTACAGGATCTACCCCCCATGCATCAGGTACCCACAAACCAACAGCTACACAGAGCTCAATAAGCCAATTTATATCAAAGGCAATGACCCCAGCTAGACAGAACATAGTGGATGAAGAATTGGCCAAAATGATCGCAAGTGATTTCCAACCATTTTCCATTGTGGAGGACAAGGGATTCCGAAGCTTCACACAGGCTCTCAATCCAATGTATGTTCCTCCAAGCAGGAAAACACTCTCTCAAAAAATCATTCCGAGACTGTATGATAGAGAACGTGCTTCACTGCAGGCCAGGGTTAAGGAAGCTACTGCAGTTTGCCTTACCACTGATTGCTGGACATCAAGAACCACCACCTCTTTCATGTCTGTTACATGTCACTTTATAGAAAATTATAAAACGGTGGCCTGTCTTCTGGACTGTTTTGAGTTTAGCGACAGACACACTTCAGAAAACTTGGCAGAGGAACTGCTAAGAGTGGCAAAAGAGTGGGACATTGAACATAAAGTGGCTTGCTGTGTTAGTGACAATGCAGCTAACATAACCAAAGCCATTAAACTCTTGAAATGGACCCACCACCCATGTCTCGCGCATACCATCAACCTGATGGTAAGAGATGCCCTGAAGGTCATGAAGCCCACTCTTGACAAAGTGAAGGGGATGGTAGAATTCTTCCATAACGGGGGTCTGTTTCCTGTCTTGTGAGGGGAAATCTTCAATGCATGCCTTACCGAGGGCAGAACCACGACGAAGTCAGTGGTTGACATTTCTTGTTAACACTGTTCCTTCAGATGTTCGAGCCGGTATTGTACTGTGTGCGCGGCATTTCACGGACCATAGCTTCACAAACCTTGGAGCGATTCATGCCGGATATGCACAGCGTAGGACACTGAAGGACGATGCTGTTCCTACTTTGTTTGGACCAGCGGGAGATTCGGGTACACAACCTGTAAGTATTCATTGTTGTTTGTGTATTTATGATGTTTAAACCAAACAAGGTATATCTACCACGACTGTGTAAATGGGTATACGTTTTTCTGGCTGCTAAGCCATTGACATAGTGCTAACAGGGCTAACTAAGTTGTTAGCGTTTCCATATATCAACTCCAATGTCAGCAGATGCCTTACATGTATCTCATAGCAGGAGAATGTCTGCATTCACACACAAAATACTCATAGACAGTATACTCCGGGTGATTTACCGTACGGTCAGTACATTGTAGTTGGCGTTCCTGGCGTGTATGCTACCGAGCTACCGTTCATAGCGTGTATGCTACATAGCTAAACAACAAGGCTACCTAGAGCTAGACATGCTAGGGAAAACATTGTTTTTATGCCAGCTACAATGAATGACCGAACGTAGCAGACTACCCGTATAAGATTGCAATTGTAAACACGTTCTTGCTAGCCTAATATGAACCACTAGCTGTTGTTCATAGTAGGTTGGCATATTACACTGAACAACTAGCAAACGTAGGTTAGCATATAAATCTAGCTGGCAAGCTAACGAACCTGAAACAACTACGTTTCTCTAATATTTTGTGATTTGCACTTGATTTCGTTAGGAATGTGTCCCAGAAAGTGTTGCTTTTAGGAAATTGACTGTTTTCATCGGATACAAAATTAATTGTATGAATATTATGTGTATCTTTCTTAGAGTACATCACAGCAGGACCCCGGTACCCCCCACCGCTCCAGTACAGTCGGGGGAACACAGACAGTGGAATGTAAAGTGTCCGCCGTTTCAGTTGCTACACAGTTGTCCTGGGGAACACTGAAGTCGGCACACGTGAGAAGCAAAGGTAGACTATAACACTGACATTGACTATTTTTTTTATTTGAGATACATTACCTTAAAGGGGACCTATCATGCAAAATGCACTTTTGTACGTCTTTTATACATGAATATGTGTCCCCGGTGTTCCAGGGAACTCACCAAGTGTCAGAAAACACAACCCTCTCTATTTTCCTCCATACCCAAATCTCTAAAAAAGGGGCTGCAACGGATCTGATAAAAACTGATCCAGATTTGAACACTGTCCTGACGTCAGGACAGTGGCGCTACGGCTATTGGGCCAACTCCACCAATCAGGAGGAGACAGCCACGGCCATTGCCGTTCGAAAGCGCTGGAGATGCTGTAGTACATATGCTAGGCCTGTAGATGGTGCTGTTCTCACTGAATCTGCCCTTGCAAAAACAGAGCTAAAAAATGTCAAATTGAGCAAAATGAGGCATGGCTAAAATGCATGATCTGTTTGGTATTTTGAAAAAAAAAAAGTATAAATATGCCTTATATAGGTATGGTCCTACACTATATTATTCAAATATAGCATGATAGGTCCACTTTAATTGTGCTTTTATTACATGTACAGCACTTTGGCTCGACCAAAAATCGTTTTTAAATGTGCTCTATAAATAAAACTTTAGTTGATATTATTGTATATCACAGAAATACTATTATGTGGACTACAGGAAATACAGTGCTGTTTGTAGTTTTTTCTAAATGTTTCATGAATTAATCTGTCAGATGTACACAAGTTGTTGGCCTTTTACAATGTATTAGTGTCTTATATAATGTACAAAGTATTTATGCACTTTTCCCTTTTATTAACAGGCATCCAGGCCACGGTGTCTTTCAAAAGTGTTGGCACTGAAACTTCTACCTACCCAGAATTCCCCTTAGCCTCTACACCAGGGCTCTCCAACACGTCGATCGCGAGCTACCGGTAGCTCGCGGGCAGCTTTTCAGTAGCTCGCCGCTCGATTATTGATTATAGCGTAGTAAGGTTGCTTATTGATTTTTCGGCCGCGGCTGGACAATAACGTTTTTTTATTTTAGAATTTTTTCTGTCACACGAATATCAAATGGTCGGTGACGCAGAGATCAAGGAACAGACGTGACAGCAGCACAGCGACAACACACACGGAGCAGTCTGCTTTCTCCACCAACACCAGTCCAGAACTAACAGCAGAATGACCCGCTCTGAATCAGGCCCTGTCGCTGCGCGTCAGAGACACACAGGGAGGGATTTGTGTTTTTTGAAAAACACTCGTTATCGTCATGTCAGGTTTTTGGTGGATTTAATCAAGTCTTGGATTGCAGAGTATGAATGTCCTCTTGCTATTTTCAGTTGATAAATACTTGTGTAAAGTTTGTGAAGGCAGGAGGAAAGCTTCCGCGATCACCGTCTCCTCTCTGTTCCTCCAAACCCCGCCCCCTCCCTGAAAATAATGAGTGACAGGCTGATAGTGACCCGATAGAAACTTTATTATTCACTTAATCACTGATTGAGATATGATGAAGCTAACTTAATCTTATACATTCATGGGATTTATGTAACAGTAAGACAGAGAATGTAAGTGTGCACCCACATGCACTATTTTTGTTTTTATAATGCTATTGTAAATACTCCTGCTGTTTTCAGACTCAAGTCCTGTGTGTGATGCATTCAAGACATTCAGTGTCTTTTTTTTTAACAGAAGACTAGCTAGAAGCTGCAGCTAGACTGCAGAAGTATTAGTTTTTTGTTTTTGAGGATAGAACCATTTTCACACACAGATATAGGGAGGCTAGACCTATACAATTAATTTATTATGGTTTATAATTTAATGTCAAGACGAAGAAGAAGAAGAAGAAAAAGATGGCTGAACAACTGTTCAGTGTCAATCCTGTGGAGATCTCCAAAATAATGTTCAGCTTAAGTCTCAGCAAAACTCACAACATTTCTGGAGCCTTGTAGACCCCGAAAACTATAGAACATTCACCAAGCAGCACTGAAAATGTCTGCTTTATTTGGTTCTGTTCTACATACCTTTGTGAAGCAGCTTTTTCTGACATGAATGAAATCTAAATACAGAACAAGACCAACTGATGAACATTTAAATGACTCTATTCTATGACTCCAGCATACACCTCTATGGTGGACTGCATGCAGTGCCATTCATCTCACTAACAAAAGAGTGAAATGCTTGTAAGGTGGTGATTAAGGACACTTATGTGAATGCTCAGTGATGTACTTATTATGTGGGCCATAATAATATGTGAGAAATCTTCGTTTTCTTGGACCTTATTTTTGATAAGCTTTAGGTATTGCAATTTCACACGTGTACAAAAGTATAGCTTAATTCAACTGATGAGGGCTATGTGAATAAATGTAAGCGATGTGATGCAAGTAGCTCTTAGCCACTTTCATTTTTTGAAAGTAGCTCTCAGATGAAGAAAGGTTGGAGACCCCTGCTCTACACCAATAAAGGGCCCAGGATTGGGACCTAGCAAGAGACCTCGACTGGAGTTGGAGGAGGAACAAGGAGAGACTTCGACTGAATTTGAAGAGACTCTGGGTTCGAGTTACCACCCTGATGATACTGTAGTAGAATCTGACGTATCGTAAGTTTGGTATATTTGGTACACATTACTATTACTGTTTTTCAGAGTTGAAATCTAATATGTATTGTTAATTTTGTTTTGTTACATTAGACTTCAGACACGATCCACGCACAGTGACGCAAAGTACATTGTTTTTGAAAGCTGCCTCGGACAGCTGTTTGAAAAATGTCCTGTGTGTAAGACAGACTGTGATGTCCAAAGATGAAAAATGGGGACTTTTGTGGCGTTCACACAGCGTTGTCCAAACTGCAGTTACTTCAGACAATGGGAGAGCCAGCCCATCATCGGAAGTGCCCCGGTTGGCAACTTACAATTATCCGCTGCTACATACTTCACTGGTGCAAGTTTGGGAGCTACACACTCCTGCACCTGGGAAGCAACACCATTGTGGACTTCCGGCTTGTTCAGGTGTGATTCTCTTTCTGGGTGCTATAATTTTAGGCTTGCTGGCTGTTGATGCATGCTTCAGTGTATTTATGCCCTATTTCTTATCCACCAACAGAGCAATGAAGTAGGTGGTAGTTACCACATGGAAAAGGAGGGACTCAAAAGATGCCTAGATCATCTGGAGTCAAACGATTTGGTGGTTGAGTACATTGTGACTGACCGTCATCCACAGATCCAGAAGTTTCTGAGGGAACGCAACATAGAACAATTCTATGATGTGTGGCACTTTGAAAAAGGTAATTATCCCTATATGTTGTAATGGAAGAATACCAAATCAGAGACACTGTCCCTTGTTAAGATATTACTTTGTTTTACTATGCAATTTATCCTGAGCCTCTAATCAGCAGCAGACATGACATAATGTCTGGATACATTAATTATATCCCCTACAATTTGGCCTGCCAGACCACTTGATCACAGCACCTTTTGTCATTGTAAATTCAATTTCACTCACTAATCTTAGGATAATCTGAGTACTCTTTAGAATGGGAATTTACAGTGATGTGTATATGAATATGTATGGAGGTTTCCTGGCTATGAAATGTTTTCAGACAGAAGGGTGTCGCACTGACCATTGTCAGGCAATTATCATATGTATGTTATGGTTGATGATATTAAGTGTGGAATTTCCACCACACCCTTGAATCTTGAATGTTGTCCATCACAGCATGTCATTTTCACACTATGGCTTGAATATTCACTTGTGCATGTGCTTTTTTTTTTATCAGGTTTGTCCAAGAAACTTTTGAAACTTTCACAGAACAAGGACTGCAAGGTGTTGAAGAGGTGGCTGCGCAGCATAAAAAACCATGTATACTGGAGTGCGACGAGCACAACCTCTGGGCCGGAGAAGGTGGCAAGGTGGACGTCAGTGGTCAACCACCTACAAAACATTCACGTGCATGACGACCCCCTATTCCCCAAGTGTTCACATCCTGAAAGAGCCTCAAGCGATGCAAATAAATGGCTAAAACCTGGTAAGTTCAATATTTATAAAACAATTGGAAATAACAAGTGAAACATTTTAAAACACTTCACTCCCTTCATAAGATCAACAATATTGAATGTAAATATAACATTGTTGTTATGTTCTAATGATTTACCTAATGGTTTTGTAATTTTACTCAAGTGTCAATAACACTCGCCAAAGTTGAAAGAATACTCAACAATAAGAGAGTTCTCAAAGATGTGCAAAAGCTAAGCCATCACTACCAGACCTCATCCCTGGAGTCCTTCCACAACTCAATTCTGCGTTTTGCCCCCAAAAATGTGGTTTTCCCCTTCATGGGAATGTTGTGCAGGTAATACACTGTATAATTTATTTTGTAGCATCTTATAACAGTCACTGTTTAGTGGCATGAGGGTTTTATTCTGTCATAACACAAAGTCTCATTTTATTTTGCTATTCTATAGGTTGTGTCTAGCAGCCATGCATCACAATTAGAGATGGCAAATCCGGATCCTTTTACGGACTCAGGGTCTTCTGAGTCAGTCATTGAAGAGATCCAGATCATACGAGTCATTTGAGTCATATGAGTCAGCATCACCAAGACCGTAGAAATCCTATCGGTGAAACCGAAAAGTTGTTGCATTTCACGAGCATATTAAACTGACGTTATATTAACCTCTGCTACAGTGTATTTTGCTTTAATAAAAAATGTTGATCACAAAAAAAAGGGTTATTTTGCGATTTGGCAAATCTGAGTCTGCTGTTGACTCGTGCATGAGGACGAGTCTGCTGGATCTCTGGATCTGCTGCTATATGGCTACGGCTCTGAGTCCGCACGAGTCTGCTCTGCTGTGTTTTGCACAATGAGTCAGGATTTGCGAATCTGAGTCTGTGAAGTTCCGCTGACTCGTAGGCTACTGGTCTCTCTCGATCATTGACCTGGATTCACGGATCCCGCGATTTTGATTAAGTCCATTATGTTTCCGGCTCTAAATGAAGTTTCAGTGTAGACTTCTAACAAAATTGTCATGTTGTGCAACAGTCTCCTGCGTGTAATAGCTGCATTTCCAATAAGGATCTACTTGGCAAAACGTTTATTTTGAACATAGCACACAAAAAGAAACAAACAATGACAAATGATAGAAAATTGCAAAACAGTTAGAATATATAAAATGTCTTAATTATACAATTATTATTATTATTATTATTATTATTAAACATATAATTATATCTAATCATATGCCCCCCATATTTTCTCATGGACTGCGTAATCATTGCAATACTGGTGTTTGTATGTGTTAAATGTGTGTAAAGTGGTGTCTTTTGCTTTAATAAAACATATTGATCACAAAAAAAAGGTCATTTTGCGATTTAGCGAATCTGAGTCTGCTGTTGACTCGTGCATGATGACGAGTCTACTGGATCTCTGGATCTGCTGCTATATGGCTACGGCTCTGAGTCTGCACGAGTCTGCTGTGTTTTGCACAGCGAGTCAGGATTTGCGAATCTGCGAGTCTGCTGTTGACTAGTGCATAATATAGCCGTGGGAGCCGGGTGCTGGAGGAGGGGCTATGCTCGTGCACATGGCGAGTATGGATCTCTGGATCTGCTATGCTATTACGGTTAGGAGCCGTCGGCTCCTCTGAGTCCCCACGAGTCTGCAGGAAGTTTCACTGATCCGCGTCTCCTCCCCTGAGCCAAACGATCACTTCTGGCAGCTATCCTACTTGTTAAAGGGTAGGCAGATGGACTGGGGTACGTTGTAATGTGATTTTACATGTTATAAAGAGAGTAGCGAGTGACGCAATTTATAGTTTTAATTTGTACGTCACACCAAGTGTGGGACTCAAGGACTCGGGTTAATGGAGAGGGGAGACTCGTCACGACCAGCTCATTTCTCGGATCCGGGTTAATGATCCGGATGAATCAGGACTCGCTCATCTCTAATCACAATGAGAATGCTGACCGTGAGCAAGCCACAGCAGCTGCAGGACAACATGTCTTCAAAGTGGCCTATCCAAAATCAAAGAGGGGAGAATGTACTGCTAAGCCTGTAAAGAAGGACCCTACATACAGTAAGTTGTGAAATATATCTTTTTTTATTACAAACATAACTTACATTTTAAATGATTATAGCCACACTGAATTATATGTACAATGAAAGTGTTACATGAAATAACATAAGTGAATTAAAATAATAAGTTATTATATGAATGCTATATTTTTCAGTGTACGTGGGTGAGCTGACGAGGCTTGTGTTTGAGGAAGTCTTTGAGGACCCAATACCCTTTGTGGAGGAGATGAACACAATGCCCATCCCAAAGGACCTGTCCACTCAATTTGACAGGCCCTCAAAGGAGAGAGTGGTTGCCCGCCATGTCTCCCGTTTTAGTCAAGGGGAGGTCGGAAGCCAACATACTATCCAGCCAGATCAGGAAACTCCTGGCGTATCCGGCGGACAACACATGACGGGATGACCACTCTGATGCCTCATCCTAAATTTCCCCAGCACCAGCTTACAAAGCTGCGATAGGCAAGATGTTGAAAACGCCTATAAGGGGAGGAATGGATGATATACAGTATATATGTATATTTACACATTTTGTACATTTCTAAAAATAAAGTTTGATGGAAATGCTTAGTATCCTTTCTTCCCTGAATTATTTGCTCCTATAACATATCATTCATATATAACAAACCATGATTTGATTTTTCATCAAACACAGTAGTAGTTTATTACTGGTAAAAATAACTTACTCTTCTTCCGTTCGCCTCAAAGGTCCATAATCAAATCTATAAATATTATGGAGGTTCTGCAGGGTGTATGGATTCAGACAGTTTGGCTCTAGTCCGGGGTGCTGTACCAAGCACATAATAGGGGCTGGGACTTGCTTCATTCGTGTTACAACCTATAGGAAGGTAAGATATTTGTTACATAACACGTTTAGCAATTAAACCAACTATGGCAAGGTTTACAAAATAAACATTGAATTACTAAGGAAGTAATAAAAGTGCATCTAATAGTCTATTGACTTGATAAATATGTATGGTGTATATCTTGGCATATAATGTTGTGTGCTACTGTTGGTGTTTTCAGCTAGCTGGCTACATAATGTTGTAACTGTCAGCTATGCTACCTTTCTAATTTCCTTGTAGCAGACGTTTTCCACTTCAGTAGGCATCATGGCGCAGTTTCCACAAGTGCACCTAAATAACAACAGTTGTAGGTACAGTTCGGTTAGTTAGCGGACAAACTTGTTACTGTGATGTAGATAAATGATGACATCTGAAATGTAAGAGTGATACTAAATAAAAACTTGCCACTGTGAAACTGTCTGCTCTAGTCTAGTTTGGGACAGTGGATCAGGTCTATCACGTTGGTCTGTCTCACTTTCAGGATCAGACTCCGGTTCAAACATGTACGCCATTGTAATACTGATGTTCCGCTCAGAGCCGAAAAATGCTCTGTGTTAGACATGGGCGGAGCCTCTCTGGTGGTTGACTAATCAGAACAGAGTGGCCGAGCTGACCAATCGGAGCACACTGGGCTCACAGGGAGGGGGGGGCAAGAGCTGCAACGAGCCGTTTAGTGGAGAGAGTGAATACTGCTGAATACACATACTTTACAGAGATGCTGTATGCGAAACCAATGTGAGTTTGGAAAATTGCACAGTATAAATCTATTTTAGTATACCTCAACAATGGAATTATGATCAGTGGAAATGGCCATGACATGGGACCTTTAAATTAATTTTGTGACTATAACACGAAATGCCGTGAGACTGGGTTGGTTGGTGACGTGTGTTGTGCAAGACCAGAGATGTAGTTCATTGAGCGGTTTCACACAAAAAAAGTGTTACTTCACAGTTTTACGGCAAATTTTTTTTTTTTTAACTTGCAAAATTATCTTTTAAATTGACAAAAGATATTTGTAATTCGTGGCACAATTCAAACGGGATCGAAAGATAATCTTTCTCTTGCCATTGACTTCAATACATAATTTTTCCGAAATAAGGTCCCATGGAGGTCCACCGGTAACGCAGCCTACACACGGCGGCGTGCGTTGCCGCTTGGCGGTGGGCGTGTCTTGAGCTTGGGGAGTTAACGCGAGCAACGCGACCAACAACCAATCACATCTCCCGTGTCTGCCCCGGGTAAAAAGGCTTTAAAAAGACTCCCGTGTATGAATCTCACCATAGACATTCATGTCTAAAAAGCGATTTTTAATGAATGTCTATGGTGCTATTTTACGCAACATTCCATGCTGGCTAAATACTGTCTATGCCTGCTGTCCATTCAAACGAAGTACACTGGATATAAACTCCCCAAACAGGCGAAAACCTACCAGTTTCACCCACTGTCTCTGCCACCTCCCTCCATGCCTGGCTCCTCCGGTTTGTATCCCGGTAGGTGAACAGGGACTGAAAGCACCGGGTGATTTCCTACCGCTACGATTATTTTCTCCTCCATTTTTTGGCATATGAGGAAATGAACTGCGGTCTGGCTCTCCCAGCATACACGCGGTTTGATTGGCTAGCGCTTGTACTGGCAGATTTGCATACGCTGGATTTGATTGGCTGACGCCTCCGCCTCAGCTTCAAAAGTAGAACATTGCTCTACTTTTGCAGCGAGCACCGCGAGAAAAGCTACGCTTTGCTCCCAGAATGCAGTTCGGCGAATCGTGACGTCACCCCATTCAAAGTGAATGGGCAGAAGCGTTGAAGCGTCAACACACGCCGCCGTGTGTAGGGGCCGTAAGGGAGGGACTTCGGCTCGCTATGGGTACAGTGGGTGGAGCCCCGATGAATGAACGCCCTGTCGCCCCACAACATCGACCCACCACACTGCTCCTGATTGGCCTTTGGTTGACAGCCATTGCACCCCAACTTCCTATCACCCGGTTGTGACCGTGGAGAAGTCGGGGTCGCAGCTTACCTGGCTGGGTAGCCAATTGGTCTGAATAAGCCCATAGATCAACCCTGCAGGTGTTAGCGCAAGTGACTACACACTGCGCACCACATTTCCCGGGTCCCTAAGGAGCATGGGAAAACGTAAGCCCATTATGTCCA